ATCCTTCACAATTTTAGATGTTTGCTAACTACAGTATGCAGCTAATTAATATTGCCAGTGTGAGGGAAAAGTGAAAGAGATGCCACCACGGTCCCACTCCAGGTACAGAAAGTTAAATTTACATTTTTTGGGCTCAGTTTCGTTATACAGAGTAACAAGCATGGTGAAGCTTGCCACTGCTTCTCTTTAGCTCCTTCATTCTGCAATATATAACATTAAAGAAGTTATCATTAAATTCACACATGGATGAAGTCTATGTGAAGAAGTCAAACAGACATAAAGACAACTTTAAAGTTTAAAGGAAAAGGACTTCTAAGGCTTTGCCATCTCATATGATAGCTAATATATAACTTCATATAAAATTTGTGACTTTTAAACTGAACTTACTTTGTTGTGTTTGTGTTTTTACTATCTGAAAAGTATCTAAATCCACGAATGACTTTAAAATGTTGTATTCTGGGCACGAGATCCGTAGCAGAAAGCTGAAGTCAAAGGCATATCCCATGTTGTCTTTCTTTGGGAAGAAAGATAAAGAAGTGGGATGTCTCCTCTGTAATGCAAACAGATTTTTACTTGGAAAACGTGCCACTTGTTGGTCTGGCCATGGTCTGGATGTTGATGTTGTTTGGCTGAAAGGCAAAAACAAAAACCAAAATACAGAGTGAAAATAAGTGGAAGGAGCAGCTCAAATAGTCATATGACTGGAGAATAATGGGAACAAGGAGTTTTTTAAATCCAAAAATGCCAAAGTATCTTTTCTTTCTTTATCTGGGAAGTTGTGCCTCTCCCTGGAAGCATCTGATTGCAAAGCCAGAGATTGACTACAAGTGAGAATGAATGACAGACAACGTTAACCAAGCAACAGCAGGAATTGAAAAACATATTGTTCATCTTCTCCTTCTTGACAAAAACTGATTGCTTCCAGTTTGTATTTTTAATGACTCATCAGGAATGTGTGTCAGAGGAATTCTGAGGCCCAGATGTGCCCTTGTTACTTAAAAAATATGCTCTGGCCTGCCTGAAAGAAGAGAGGCTGTGCAGACAAGCCTCAGATCCCTGCCACCTGTTTTCTGAAGAATGAAAAATATGGAGAAAGATAAATATTGTGGCTGAAAAGATGTACAAAAATACAGCCTAAATTTATCTTAAAGCTGTATGCAATTGTCTGGTTTTAATAAGTCAAATTCTGATGTAAAACCATATCCCATGTTTTTCCATATTCTACCAAATAATTTGTTCATCTAATGCAATATCCTGCCTCCAGCAGTGGCCAATAATTGCCATTGGGAAGAGATAAACACCACACAACATATAAAGCTGAATATAATGTCTGGCACTTAAGAAATATTTCCTTACTCACAGACTACTACCTGCTTTGTCTTCATTTGTGCACACTCAACTGCAAATTAAACAGTAATATGATTAACCTGTTTTTTCCTAGAGCTTTGTATGACTGATGCATTTCTTCCATTGTCTTATCTGCATCCTGAAGAGCAGCAACACTTCCACAACCTGCAACAGTACATCAGTATTTGCACAAAAGCAGTTTAATTCACTGAGCAGTAACACATTGTAAACATAGTGTTTTTTGGGCATTAAAATATTATTATAAAGAAGTACATGAAGTAGGTATGGGGAAAAAAAATAAGAGTATGTTACATTTGACTAATTTTTTTTGAAATGTGAATGCATAACTCTGATTTATTTTTAGTTATTTGGTAAGTGTAGTAATTCAATGGACTATAAAAGCAAAGAACATCTGAAGATAATTCCAGTTACAGCACCTAGATCAGTAGAACAGAAGTAGAAGACAAATATTGACAGAAACTCTGCATAAGTAGAGCATTTAAAAATATGAAAACCAAACAAATCTCAAGGCTTTACAAAGGTGGAAAGTAACTCTGAGTTTGATTTCATATTTTACTATGGTTGCTTAGTTTTGACAAACATCCAGATTTTAAGTTATTATTGTACTTTTCCTTCTTCAGATCCCTCATCTTACACTTTATACACATAAACTTTGGTCAGACTACCTTTTTTGCTTCTCCTCTTATTTTGTTGGTTGTCAGACATACTGTCCTTAAATGTATTAAGGTCCAGAAACCTGAAAAGAACAGTTTGTTAATTGATTTCCCATTCACATGTACAAAGCAGTAATTTATATTTCATTATTCCAGAGCCATCAGTAAGACAAAAACATTTTAAAAGTACCTGAAATTATTAAAAATCCAAGAGTCACTACCTGAGGTTGTTGGCCTGTTAACTTATTAGTAGCAAACTTTTGTTTTCACTTTAAACTATTGCATTGTCAGAAATAGTATCTTAACCATGAGTGTACCTTTCTGTGAGCATCTTTATGTATGTTTAGAAAAACATATTACTCAAAATGTACTGTGTTTATAAAACCAAAACCCCTTGAAATTTGCATTGAATTAGTGCTAAAAACATTTGTTAGATAATTCCTGGTTGTTGAAAGAGCTGATCTCGGGAAATTAAAACAGCAAGTATTTTCTCTTTTCATACATTTATTTTCTACAACATATGTTAAGAAGGATAAGTAGCCAATAAAACAACACAAAACAATCTCAAAGTGCAGACTCTTAAAGAAGAAACATGAGAGGGTTAAGTAGAAGGATTTGAAGTTTTGAAATTCTAGACAGCTAATTCTTGAAATAAAATTAATCTCAGTTAATAGTTTTGATGGATTTGGGACTCTTTCTAAAAAACATACTGAACTTCAGTTTCTCAAGTGACAAGAACACCTAAGGTAATTAAAGAGAGTGGATTGAAATGAATAAAAGAAAATACAATCACGAATATTAGTTCATATCTGTATTAAAATGTTTACCAATGTCTTTACTGTTTAATAAATAATTTATAGTAAAAAAAAATAAGATATTGTACATGAAATAAATAATATTGTCAGATATATAATATGTCTGAATGTACATGAATTAATATATATTTAAACATTTATGAATAACAGTGCAAAATTATTACATTGGGTACCTCTGGGTGCTAGAAAGTAATTAAGTTCTTTAATGTGCATTGCAGGCTAAAAGAAAGGTATTTTAAAGTTATGTTGATATTTATTGAATCTACAAGTAGAACTATAAAAATAGGACACCTAGTGGTTCCTATGTTGCTAATTTCTTTATGAAATTATATTTTCTCTCTGCTCTTTTCCCCAAGTTAGTGATGGAAAGTAACAATCTTTGTACTCGTCTCTTCATTTCAAAGTTACTACAGAGGTCACTGGAAATGAAGGGCCTACGTAGATTTTGTTGGATAGTAGCATATTGCCACACAATATTGCTAGTCAGGGAAAGAATTAGGCTTTTGTTCCTGATTCTACCAGCAAAAAAAATATAATTATTTGGAAACACGTAGCAGCCTTCCCAACAGACTAGTGCATTTTGCTAGATTAGTTTTTTACAATAATTTTATATGACATCTGAGAAATGTGTGCTATTTTATAACTATATACAGCCAGACATCAGACAGTAGTATCATTCTTGGTTTACAGAAGAGGAAACAAAGAAAAATGGAATGACCTATAGCTACCTTTGACTCACTTATCATCAAGATCATCCAATGAACTGTGCAAAAGTAGCTTAGAAGCACTCTTGATTTCTCATTCCTATGGATAATCCATCAAAATGTTCATCCCGTTATATTAGTCTAGTAAGAGTCAGATGGTGAACTTCTCCAAACTCTGCACTTTTTTTATGGATACACAAAACCCACTTCAAAATAATAACTGAGGAGGTTCTGTAAAAAGGCACAACCAAATCTTACCTGGTGCTTCAGTAGCAAAGAGCGAAAGAGGCACAGCAACCTAAAGAGAAGTTATAAAGCATTTTCAGCTCACAGCCGCCTTCCTTTGCTGGCCAGCGAGGAATTCAACATAGATTACACACTTTTGGATTCGACTTTCGGCGTCTTTTCCTGACTGCGGAGCTCACAGGCTCTTCTTTCTGCAGGCAGCTCCTGCGACACGAGGCTGCTGAGTTTACACGACGTTGCCGAGGTAACCCCTCCGGGGGGTATTTTACTTGGAGGAGTTTAATTCAAAGAGCAGCAGTGACCTGTGAAAACAAACACGGCCGAGCTAAACGGTGTTGCCGTTTAAGCTCTAATCACAGGGCGGCTCTACAAAACCCTACTCCTCTCTTCTGTTTGTCTCTTTTTTTAATACGTTATCTGTTTCCATATAATTTTAAGTTCTCATTCAGTCCCTCACCTCGATGCTCTCCGTTACTCTTGAGTATTTTTAATCTCGTTTCTGGCAGCCGTAAACAGAAGATTTTAAGGATTTTTTTTTTTTTTTTTAAGTAGCAGACTGTTAAGAGGGAAGAAAGGATAAAAAAGGTACGGTGGGGCTCAGGCTGAGCTGAAAGGGTGTTTAAGAGAGATGGTTTGCTGGATGCCAGAAGCACTTGGCCGCCGTCCCCCGGGACACGGCTGCGGGGAGGCACAAGCGAGGGGGCGGCTTTGGACTAGGCGGGAGCAGGGACATGAGCCCTGGGGACAGCAGCCCCCGGCCGGCCGACCAGGGCTGTGTTACTGGTGCACCTGCGGGTACCCGGCACACCCGGCTGCCCCTGACGGAGCCGGAGGGTCTGTGGGAGCAGCCCCCGCCGCGGTGAGGCGACCACGACTGCGGACATCCCCTGACAGCGCCCATGAGGGGCTGAGCCAGCTAGGGAGGGGGGATGCGGGGAGGGGAGCCCGGGGCGTGGGGAGGCAGGAGCAGGGCTGGGAGGGAGCCCCGCCGGGAAGAGCTGCGAGGGGGAGCCGAGCTGTGCGGGAGTCCGGGCTGGACGGACTGTGAGAAGCACCCGGGCTGTGAAGGAGCCCGGGCTGGACAGGTTGTGACGGGGAGCCGGGACAGGCTGTGAAAGGTAGGAGAGCTGTGAAGGAAGCCGAGCCGGACAGGCTGTGAGAGGGACCCGGGATGAGCTGTGAGGGGGAGCCGCCCTCCGCCGCTTTCCCGGCAGCCTCCGCGCCCGCGGCGGCCCGGCCGCGTCGCAAGATGGCGGCGGACAGCGAAGTGAGTGTTTATCCTGCTCCTCCCCCTCCTCTCTCCCCCTCCCTGCCTCCCCCGCTCTCACCGGTCTCTCTCCTCGGTTTCCCCTCTTACCGCCTCTCCCGCTCTCTCCCCACAGCCCGAGTCGGAGGTGTTTGAGATCACGGACTTCACCACCGCCTCCGAGTGGGAGAGGTAGGTGCCGCCGCGCCCTTCGTTCATCCCGGGGGTGACGCGGGGGCTCCGCCGTGCTCGGCCCGGCCGCTCCCACCGGGAGGAGCCGGGACCCCCCGGCACGGCCGCTCTCGGCACCTGGGAGCACCCGGCGGCTCCCGGAGCCGCGTCCCGACTGTGCCACGTCCGGCTCAGGCCGCGCCCGAGGGTGGTGAAGACGCTCCAGTCGAGCTGTTTCTGAACTTAGTGAAAGGCCCAGTTTAACATCTGTTTGCAAGGGATTAAAATATACATTCAGAAGGCTTATACATTTTTTAACTAGCTGCCTGATTATTAAAATAGTCATCTGGTAGCTGAATCCTTTAAAAGTTAGCAGAACGATATACAAATCTAAGGTGAATAATGCTCTTGCATTGTTAATGTTTTATATTTTTTTAAACGCTTTTTATGTTTGTCGTAAGAGACAGAGATATTAAGTGTAGTGTATAATTGTCTCAAATGTTTATTTACCTGTGAGCAGTGAAACAAGACCATATGTTAAACGTTATGTGCTGCAATATCAGAAAAAGAAAACGGTGAGATTCTTTATAAGCACTCAAAAGATGGTCATAGCAGTTGCTAAGAGTAACTATAATCTGAAATGTAAGCATACGAGGTCTGTTTTATTTGTACAAGGAAGCAATTGTTCTGGTTTTATTGTTTTACTTCTTGTTGTGGGTTTTTTTGTTGTTTGTTTGTTCTTTGGGTTTTTTTAAGGAGTTCCATAGTAGGACAACAAATTGCCTGCTTTAGAGCAGATGAATTATAATACAAGTTCAGCGTTCAGTAAATATTAATGCCTTTTCCCCTCCCTAATAGATTTATTTCAAAAGTAGAAGAAGTATTGAATGACTGGAAACTTATTGGGGTTTCTTCAGGCAAACCTCTAGAAAAGGTCAGTTACGGCTTTTGAGTTTTCTTTTAGAATTTGAATTGCTAACTAGTCATTCACACGTACATTTCATCTATTGCTGTTTTCTTAAGTGTGGCAGATAATGATTTTTATTAGGGAACGTTGTAAAAGTGCCAATTTGACAAACAGTTGCTGTAAATTTACTGATGGGCAGTCTGCCAAACAGGCTGTTTGTTGATAAAGCTGAATCTTCATATAGGACTTAGTGATTTTTTTTTATTTTATTTTCAATTTGAATCTGGAAAAATGATGGAAGCTGCTGTAAATTCTTAAGGAATCTTTTCCCCCTGCCTTGTGCCTTTGTCACACCTCATGTATTTGTGGCTGAGGTTTGCACAGTGACTCAGAATGTTTCATAGATTGGAGAGATTTTTTTCAGAGTCTAATTAGAGCCTTTGTGGTGCTTTCTCAGTCCTGTAAAATGCAGAGGAAATTGCTAAGCTCTTCTGCATACCCGTGCAAACAAATTCAGCTGTTCCGGACGGAATGGCTGCTGTGTTTCCAAAGGAATTCAATAATTCTTGATTTTAGCCAGGGTACAGAGCATTCAGAATAAAAACTTCTGTTATCTAATGAACTAATTTTACACCTTAGCTGTCTGTGTGTTCCTACATGTCTTGTTTGCTAGACCAGACCTCTCCTAATACCCTTTACAGATCAGAGGGTTGTCCAAATTGCTTTGGTTTAGCAGCAGCACAGAATTCTGTACAGTTATGCCGATTTTCTTAGAATCTCCTATGCTGTATTTATGTTTAAAAATGAATTATCCTTACAGAATTTTTGCAAATTAAAGATTAAAAAAATAATTTGTTAGCGGAAGTACATTCAAAGTAAATATCAAGGTAATATTTGCACAGATTGGTTTAGGTGTAGTCCCAGATGAGAAACTTCTGTCTCTGGCAAAATTGAGGGTGCATATACTTAAGATGCATAGTAACATATGAAAATATATTTCTGCCCCTTTATTGCCATATAATTCTGGAGATTTCTCAGGGAGATATCTGATCCTTGGAATGAACGTGATTATCAACAACATGGATTTTAGCATTCAACCACCTTTATAATGAAGTGCTTTGAGCATTGTTTTTTTGAAATTAAATCATGCTTAGCTATTTATAAATAAATATTTGGCAGTAGAAAAACATAAATAAACATTATTGATCACGTAGGTAATATACTAATGAATGTTAACCTAAATTTGTTGACAAAATAGTATATTTTTTGTATGCAGGGTATATACACCACAGGGACATGGGAAGAGAAATCAGATGAGATTTCATTTGCGGACTTCAAATTCTCAGTTACCCACCATTATCTTGTACAAGAACCCAGTGACAAAGATGGGAAAGAAGAGCTGGCAGAAGGTACCTGCTAGTTCCCTCACATACCTGTAAGGATATGACAAAAGGCAGTGTCAGAATGTGGAATTCACAGTGTGTTGATTTGCTTCTGAGTGAGATTTTGTGAGATCTGATGGGTGTGATCTAACATTTCTGCTTTTAGTATGCTTTGCATTCACACAATGCTAATCTAAGCAATTTGCAAGTGAGCTGGATGGATGCTGATGATCTTATATATGGATTTTTTTTTTCACAGATGCCCTTCCCCTGCCAATGCAGGACTTGCTGTGCATGAACAATGACTTCCCCCCTCGAGCTCACTGCCTGGTGAGATGGTATGTACCCTGCCTCTTGTCTCTAATGCAAACCAGCACAGCAACTGAGAAATCTCTGATGCTGGCACAAGCACTTGTATATTTGTTTTTCAATTGAAAGTTAAAGCTTAAGGAAAATGATTCTTCATACTGGACACAGGAAAGGAGTGCAAAAAAAGGCCTATCTTTACTTTTGTTTTTTGTCCCCAAAGACTTTTGTCTCAGTTTCACATATCAACCAAGTTTTTATATATGTGGTATTTAGGTACATTCTTAAAAAGGGAAGCTGCAGCACCTTAAGAAACAGCAACTATGTTCTTAGTAATGCAAATCTTTAGCACATTATAACATTGTTCTAGAGATTGTTTTTGTGTATAAACGGTTACAGTTGTTATTATAAAATAAAAAGCCTCAGGACTGATAGACCTGGAAGTCCTCACAATCAAACACTTCACAAGGTTTGAGTGTTGTTGAGCTCAGGTGGTTTGTGATTTCGGACTGTGCAGCACTCGCTGCCCACTCAGTTCTTGACCTCTCTGACAGAGGTACTCACATCAAATCAGATTCCACAGTCTGTTGGTGACAATTAGGTTATTCAGGTCACAGTGTTTCTAAAAGCTCTTTTTCAGCTGGCTTGCTAAAGACCAGAAATGTGCTCTTTTTTTGTCTTTCTCAAGGTATGGCTTACGGGAGTTTGTGGTGATTGCTCCTGCTGCAAATAATGAGGCCGTTGTGAGTGAATCCAAGTGTAACCTTTTGCTGAGTTCCATTTCCATTGCGTTGGGGAACACTGGCTGGTAGGTGAAAGCATTTCTTACCTTTTCACGTGCCCAGGTAAAACTGTAGCATGCTGCATTTGTGAGGAAAAAGCGTTAAATTGTTAGCAAAATACATTCAGAGTTTGTTGGGTTTGCACTTTAATACCGTTAGAGAAAGATTAAAAAATTTTCCAGGGAGATTTTAAAAAGATTGATTCAATGTGTTGTTTATATTCATTTTTGCTTAAAAACCTTAAATGCTTTCAGAAGCTGCTAGAAGTTGTTGGAAAAATAATGTATAGAAAATATAGAAACAGTAGAAAATATAACTTATGGAGGAGGATTTCATCCCGATGTGTGATAACAGTAACTTCTTGATCTTCCTCAAAAGTTATTTAGACTGAAAATTAGGTAACTGAAGTCATGGATATGACTGTGACTGTGACATGACAATTTGTTAGGCATTCTCTTTGATGATGACATTGATAGCATTTTTCTTTGATTCCTTGTCAAGTGTTTTAAAGTGCGTTCCACTAGGAGAAAATATATTCCAAAGAATATGAAATGACGTTGAAATTATGCTAAAATATTTAGCTAGTTTTAAAGACTACAAGACAGCATGACACTTTAAATAATCTGAAACATTCATGTTTTGCAGTCAGGTACCACTGTTCGTGCAGATACACCAGAAATGGCGCCGGATGTACGTTGGGGAATGTCAGGGCCCGGGAGTCCGGACTGACTTCGAAATGGTCCATCTGCGCAAGGTGCCCAGCCAGTACACTCACTTATCAGGGCTGCTGGAGATCTTCAAAACCAAGATTGTAAGTGCAGCTGAATGTATAAAACTGAGATTAGGAATAATTATTTTGTTACCTGGATGCTTGTAGATTCACCAGTATCTGACTGTAAAGACTGATGGTTTGCGTTTGGTTCCTGGATGTTACCACCTTCCACATTTAATTTTCACTGGGATGTGAAATAATGTGTCTGTTTTACAGTTTCCTTGTAACAACCCTCTTCCCCATGGCCCAAACAAACTCTATTTTGTTATTGGCGAGGAGAAGGGAGGGTTGGGGTGGGGTTTTTATTCTGATACTTTGTAGCTCCCCAAGCTGAGAGGGAAGAACACCACTCTAGGATGTGAGGAGACTGAGAGGGCTGCTTGTTTACAGAGTGGTATGGCTGCCTGCAGCACTACACAACCAGTATTGGTAGTAAGCAATCTGAGCAAATCACTGAGGAGAAAAATCCTTAATGAAAACCTGATGCATTCTGGGTCAGAGTTACTTGAATTACCAGCTAAATGGAGCATACAAATGTCTCATGCATTTTATCTGTGATTGTCATGTTTAGCAACAGCTTTACCAGTAATCACAGAATCATTATGGTTGGAAAAGACCTCCAGGTTCATCAAGTCCAACCTTCAAATACTTGGGGTGTCGCAGTTCTGCTAAAATTAGCTCTAATACAAGCTATTGTGACTTATTTATGTCCAAGCCCTGGAGTGTTTGAGAGGATATACTCTTTCTATTGAATTTGTTCTCTGGTATTTTGAAGGGGTGCCCTCTAACACCACTGCCTCCCGTTAGCATGGCTATCCGGCTGACCTACGTGCTCCAGGACTGGCAGCAGTACTTCTGGCCTCAGCAACCACCAGGTAGGAGATCCCTGTCCTCAGAATAACGTGTTTTAAGACAGTCAGTGCTCTTGGTGTATCTTACCAGAAGGATGAAAACATTTTCTGTGTGAGTAGGAAAGGCTTCAGTTTCAACCGAGTCCAATCCCACTCCCTGTGCTGGGCTCGCAGGCTTAAAGCTCCTCTGAAATCATGTCTGTGCCTCGTGGTTGGGACAGGTGTTTTGGGTAGGGCTGTGCCTAGAAACATGGGGTTTTGTTAGCGTTTAGAAATGCAATGATACTTCTAAAATGGTAGTATATATGTGAAGTGGAAAAGGTGACTGAATCTGTGGAGAACTCTGCCCTGAATTCCTTAGGGGAATGTTTAGATTCAGGTTCTAGTAGGTGCTAATACTTCATGGGAGTATTTGTCAATTATTTCTATAAAGTACCTTATTTTAATACCTCACTACCTATATTAACAATGGGAAAAGCAGAAAATGTTATATGGACCTCACGTGAGGTAAAAGTTTGGATTTTTGTTGTTATTGTTTACAGAGTGTTAAATAAGCCATGCAGTTGGTTTATGTACTTTTTTTATTGCATGAACAATTTCTGGTCAAGTCTTTTATTGTAGTAGTCTTGTATGAGTGGAAAAGGGGAAAAGTAATGTATAGTCTTGAATTTAAGACTATATAAAGTTTATGCCATAAACTTTATAAGTTTATGCCATAGCAATGCTGTTAAGGAAAAATAGAGGTAGTTGCTCACTTGGTACTCCCAAAGTGATCTCTCCTACTGTTGCTTGATAGTGACACTGTCTTCCTTGGGTATCAAGGATTTGTTTTTAACAGACCTATTTCTATATAGGTAGCATCAAAAAATAAATAATAAATTTCTCCTGGCTCAGAGGTAAACAAACCTATAGGAAGAAGGTAAATGTTAGTTCCTCCTTAACATAAATTTTATTAGTGATGTGGTGTTGTAGGTACAAGGTGGTGGAGCACTTAAAATGCCCAAGTTCTTTTCTTGACTTGGTAGTGGTTTTACATAACAAGGTTAAAGTATTTAGGGCAGCATTTAGAGAGAGGGAACTCTGTGTGGCCTTGGTCTGCTTATTTAATTGTTTGACTTTCCTTTGCTTAAAAAGAAAATACACTAATGAAAGGTATGTTTTGAAGAAGTCTGTAGTGAGGCTGATTCTGTGTGCTTTGTAGCTAAGGAATGTATGTTGAACATACATTTAAGGAGAGTCCTGCTCTTTAGGGAGAGAAAATTGGTGCTGTTTTAAATTATAGTTTTCCTCTTTCAGTAAACCAAGGTTACCTAAAGAACTTGGGAAATGAATTCTACAGATTTTATTCTTTTATTGTTTCTGCAGACACAGGAATCTGTGTCTGCACAGATTCTGTGTGGTGTCTCTCTGCCTTGCTGTAGTTACTCACTGAGTCAGGATCCCTGGTTTGTGATGGATGAGTTGTACTACTTTGATCATATTTCTAGATTTGAGCTGTTGGAATAACTTCTCCTTTAGAGGGTTCTGGTTAAGGGAGTCAGTGTCAAAGTGTGTTGCAGAGACTGGAGACAGTCAGTATAATTTTTATTGCTGTTGCTATGTGCAGTTGTGGTTTTATGGTCACTGTGAAGATCTAGACCTGTAACTTACTACTGTCACTCAATTAGCTCTTCTCAAATAAAAGGAATTTAAATGTGCCTTTTATCTTCTCTGAAGAAGAAATTATGTAATTAAGTGATCCAAATACTTTATCTGTTCTAATACCTCACTTGTTTTGTATGTAAACAGTTTTCCAGATGCATTTAAAATGACAGATCAGATGCTGTAATAGCATTATTATAATGGCATTACAGTGCATTATTATCCATTCAAATTTCTGTTCAGTGAAGGCTGTCTGGTTTTGATTTATGTATTTGAAGAATATAACATGGGAAGTGTCTGAGGATGTTGGGAGGCATCTTTAAGTACATGGGATTACAAGGAATCTCCCAGGTAATTTGATTAAGTCCGTAGCTGTAGGAGACATAATCGTCTTTTCACAAAATTGTCAACATTTTAAAACTAGTTGTTTTTTCACTCTGCAAGTTGCTCTTCTGGAGTCTTCCTTTTCTGCTTGGAGCTTATTTGCTGCCCAAATATTTTTATGGCACTCCTGTGTCTGTCTGTTCTTGTGTCAACATTGAATCTTTAAGTCTGTCTTTACAACTCTCATCTTTGCCCGCGTGAGGGGAATAGCCTTCCCTCAACACGAATTACGAGAATTTTATCTGTCTTTTTGAATGTCCTGTTGCATGATTACTTCCCAGTTTCTGCTGGAAGCAATTTGTGTGCTAGGATTGTGTTTTCAATGCTCAGTCACCCTGGTTGCTCAGCTGTTCTCTGGTCATCTACATGCTACAGTCTTTACTGTGAAATTAAGATGATATGTTGCTTCAAATATTCAACAAATTCCACATGGAAAATGTATTGACTTTTCTTCAGATATAGATGCCCTAGTTGGGGGAGAAGTTGGAGGCCTTGAATTTGGGAAGTTACCATTTGGTGCCTGTGAGGATCCTATTAGGTAAGCAACAGTTCAGAAAACTGTTTTGTAACTTCCTTAATGGAGGGCTTATAGGTACATTATTTCAAATTTCAGCTTTGCCCACCTACCACTTAGGATGTCCCTAACAGATATTTAATTATTCCAGTACATCAAGGACATGGTTTAATAGCAAACGAGACCATTTGCAAAATTGTCTGATGATGTTCAGGGCTGAAGCTCTGCTCAAATGAAGTCTTGCACCATAAACTTCTGGAGTACTCTATTTATCTCTGAAATTATTATGTTGAAATATAACTTAACTGAAGATAAACCTTAAAAATTATGTGCCTTTGTTCAAGGGTTGGACTTGCTCTCATCCATGACATTTGTAGAAGACTTAAATTGAGCAGGTCTGCAAACTGAGTTGTTCCAATGTGTCCCCTTCTGAACACCCCATCACCCTCAGCAAATCCAGGAGTTGTTTGGATGTATTAGACAGTGTTCAGTGCTGTAGGCAGTTCAGGGAAGTTGAACACGTTCTGCCAGCACTGAAAGACTGAAATCTTGCTTTGTTTCAGTGAGCTCCATTTAGCTACTACCTGGCCCCACCTGGCAGAGGGCATAATTGTGGACAATGATGTGTATTCGTAAGTATTTTGTCTGAATTGTAAATATCTAGAAATGTACTTTATTTAACTACTGCATTTAGTGACATCTAAAACACTGTGTGTGGCTTTGTGTGTGAGAAAGAACCCCTTTTGAGGAGTGGTAAGGTCAGCTGATGGAACATCTCATTTGGGAAAACACCTTCTTTTTAAATGCATTGCTGTGTGAGAAAATATTATTGTATTGTAATCTCAACAGAACACACACCTCTCTTTTTGAGCATATTCTCGTGTTAGACTTGAAAATTATTTCTTGGAAAAGATAATAATGGAGTGTGGAGAGCAAAAAGAATTCACCAATTGACATCCCTCTCCCAAAAACTGTCATCCAGGTTTTGTGCTAGAGAGAAATAAACCATGTTGGGTTTCTTCCTTCTTTCTTAATTAATGAAGAAATGAGTTTTCAACATTAATACACTTCAAAAGAAGACAGTTTAGTTCTAACTGAATTTTTCATGTGTGCCATGTACCTACATGAGAACAGGGACTCTTGCTTGCATTTCAAAGTGTTTGTCATGTTCTCCTGTGTAATGTGGTGCATATTGTGGCTTCCATGGCCTCAGTGACTATGACAATACATTTATTGAGAATTTGATACTCATCTCTCGCAAACTTATGGTGACAACATGGCCCTTAGTTTGTTTTGTTTTGTTTTGAAGTGACCTGGATCCTATGCAAGCCCCACAATGGTCTGTGAGAGTCAGAAAAGCAGATAACCCTCAGTGTCTACTGGGTAAGACATCAGAATTTCCTGTCTTCCCTTAGGGCTTTTAAGCTACTGAGTTGTGAAGTCAGGGTTGAATTGATGACTACCTGATGACTTCTGTTTCCTCATTCCCCATATTTTTTTGAGTGGACAATATTTGGGGCTTCCTTTTCAAGAACACAAACTTTGCAAAAACATGAGTTTCTCTTGTAGGTTACTCTATGTCTGTGTACCGTGAACTTCACTGCTGTTCTTATTTCATCACATTCCAGAGAACAAGAATTTTCCCTGTATGTTCTGTGAAAATTTAGATTTCCTGGAATCTTTCAATTTTATTAAGTGCCTTCTGCATATATCCATCTGCTTAGCTTGATCAGTCTGTTTGACAGGGAGGATTAATACATCTGAAGAGCTGTACTCTCCTGTCTGTCCTTGCCTTTAAGCTTGTGGGGAAAGGGGCTTCAAAACTTTCAAAGTTTCATCTTGCTTTGAGTGAAGAAGTGGATTCAACTGCAGGCAGAGCTGTGCTCTGGAGAGGTGGCTGATGCCTGCCTAGGTGTGCATTTTCCTAAGCTTTAATTATGATGTGGTTTAAAGATATTTGTGCTTCAGAACAAATTATCATGTTCTTTCAGATGAAAAGATAAAAAATTACTGTCCTTTGGGCATAATTTTGAGAGTTGCCTTGTTGTTCAGTGAGATTTTTAACTGAGTAGTAGTTGAGAGACTTTGTTTCTCTGCCAGGTGACTTCCTTACCGAATTCTTCAAGCTCTGCCGTCGGAAGGAGTCGACTGATGAGATCCTTGGGAGATCTGCATTTGAAGAGGAAGGAAAAGGTAAAACTAAAATCCTGTTGATTTGTGTTACTTGTTTTTAATTGTTTCCTGTTATTTTACCTTCCCTATCCCCTTTTCTTAAGATTGATTGCTATTTATACTTACAACTCTTATGCATTTTCTGTAATACTGGGAATTTTCTGGCCAGTGCTACATGGTGAAATTTCTCAAGAATTCTAGGCAAGCTTAGCTCCCAAAGTCCCAGGGGACAATTACCTCTGTTATAGTTGTGTATGTGTCTTTTCACTGGAATACAAAAGCTTAAAATTTGATTATAAATGTACAAGAGTTGAGTTTGAGCACACATCAAACACATTTGTCTGTATTATGTCTTTTTGTTTTTTCCACTTTTTTTTTCCTTTTTGATGTACTCTGTAGTACATGTTTAACAGCAAGTTTAAAAAACCTTTAATCTGTTTGAAAGGCTTTGCCATCATCCTCTCCATTTTAAAGAATTTTTAGGGGAAAAAAAACCAAAATAAAAAAACCCCTCCCTAATTGTCTGAGCAGCAGGTCAAACTTTATCCCAACTGTATAGATACTGACATCTTTTTGATGTCTCTGTCCCTTTCTTTTGCTTTTCTTGCTGTATGTAGTGAACATTCCCTTCCTTCCTGCTGCTTGTCACCTTTGCTTCCCTCCAAATATGGCTTATAATGTATTTTCTTTGGTTATACTTGATCTTAATTTTGAAGGAGGTCGCCAGTCAGCTTAAAAAGGTGTTAGACTGAGTAGGGGGCTTGACATAGTCTCTTTAGCTCTTCTTAGCTCAATTTTCTTGCAAGGTTTGCCAAGATGAGCATTTTCAGGCTGCTGGTAATTATTCACTTCAATTTATCTGCTCTCTCTATAACAATATTGATTCAATTTATTGTAAGAGACATTCTAAAGCTCACCAGCAGCAACTCTGGAAAAAAATCTTCTGATTTGAGAAGTTTATCTGGGGATTCTAAAACAGAATTATGCTTACACCATGTAAGGTCAGGTATATAGTGATTAATACAGGATTTATTAAGGCTTATCTAAAGCTTTAGCATAGGCTTGAGCTGCCTTTGTTACCTACAGTGTATTCATTGGTATCATTTGTGAACAAGGTTTAAACATGGACTCTTCAGCAGCCTTTTGTGATGCTCTGATAGTGACTGTCTGCAGACAGCTCAGTCTAGACTTTAGTTGGTAAATTAAATCCAGGACAGTCTGTGACTCCTTTGTGACTTGTTCTGCTGTTTATATTTGCTGATAGTGAGTATCAGGATGGAACCTGACAGCATAGAGTGTACCTCTGGTTAACAAGGGGCTAAAATTCAGTACAAGATAAAAAGGCTGGATAAGACAGGTGAACTTGTAAAGAGAGATGGGCAAGTGTTTGTGGGTTTTGTTTTGTTCTAATTGCTTTTATTTTATTTCGTAGAGGTTGCTGACATTACCCATGCCTTGTCCAAGCTCACAGAGCCAGCACCAGTCCCAATCCATAAACTATCAGTCACAAATATGGTTCACAGTGCAAGGAAAAAAATCCGCAAGCACAGAGGTGTGGACGAGTCGCCTTTAAACAATGATGTGCTGAACACCATTCTACTGGTAAGTGACTCTTCCTGCATGTGAAGTTCAGGTAGAACATGCACTGAGGCATTTGGTTTATAGTCCATAGAAGAGTTAAAGGTGTCTGATATCAGTTCCATTACTTCAGTTGCAATTATCAACTTGAAACAGCCCGAGTTGTTACAAGTCTGTGCAATATAAGTGGACTGAAAACAAACTCTCAACTCTGCCAACAGTTTTAGTTGTAGGGATTGCTGGTATGTAGCCAGCAGTACCTTTAGGGAGAAAGTGGGAAAAGCAGGAAAACCACACTGATGGAAGGTTAATTTTTTTTTTCTTTTAAGTTCTTGTTTCCTGATGCTGCTGACAAACTTGCAGATGGATTTGAAAGCAGAGCCAACACTTCAGCAGGAAACAATCCTCCTCCAGAGAATGAAGATTATGTAAGTTTTACTGACTGACACTCAGGAGAGAGAAAGCAGTTTTGAGTGTGTGTGTTCATACAGACTTTGTGGTTGCCCTACATCTTGTAATAGGTAACTTTTGGAAAGAGGAACTTATCTTTGTGGAATCTCTAAGTAAAAGTAGTGATCATTTCTTTTTCCTTGTAATTTCTTTTTCTTCCAAAGACTGTAATTTTTGATATCTTATACTTACAGGCTTAAAATGTGGTTAACCACTTGTACTGCTAAAGAGATTACATAGTTTGGGAAAAAATACCATTGTTCCTGTATTTCTTGCTTTCTTTTGTTTCTTGCCTAGAATCTCTTCAGTCAGTTTAAATCTGCTCCCTCTGACAGTCTGACCTACAAATTAGCTTTGTGTCTTTGTATGATAAACTTCTACCATGGAGGAGTAAAAGGGGTGGCACATCTTTGGCAAGAGTTTGTGTTGGAAATGCGCTACAGATGGGAGAACAACTACCTCATTCCAGGGTAAGATTTGCTTTTATTGTCATTCCTTTGTTGTAGAAAATGTTCTTTATTCCAGGAAGAGAGTCCACTGTGAATTTGAAACATACTGGTTTGGGTTTTTTAATTGCAAATCCTATCCTTTATTTTTATTACCCTCCTTCCTTAGTGCAAGAAAGGGCAGGGAGTAGAAAAGCATCTGTGCCCTCCTTTGAAAACTTAAAAATGTCTGTGGAAGCTCAGCTTAGAGATCCCTCCACTGTGTGAATGAGGGTGGGTAATAAAACTTAAAGGAATGCTTGGCTCCCAGTTCATCTGTTAGAGAAACATGAAGGAGCTGATACAGGGAGAAGCACCTTTGCTTTGTGGTGTAGTTTCAACCACTTTTCTGAGGAAGCTGTTCCAAGTTCCTGCCTTTTCAGGTATTCCAACCCTTCCAGCCTTTGTCTGCTGCAGCAGAGCTTGTTGCAGACCTAATGAAGGGCTCTGTGAAGATCAGGTATCAATGCAGAGCAATAATATATCCTACTTTTGGGGTTGTGGTTTCTTGGTTTCTCGTGGTTGGTTTGTTTGGATTTTTTTGTTAATGGGGTGAACTGGCCATTTATTCACTGATTTGTACTTTGAAATGGTTACACTACCAGATAAAATAGAATTAAAATACATAGCAATCACTCCAACTTATTGCAGTTTTAAAGCAAGTCAAAGATGCTTAATTTCTGTTTGTAAACAGTTACCCTTTTAACTTCCAAATAGAAAACTGGCCAGGAAATGCAGGGTGTCTCTCTCATACTAGTGTGAATGACCTCTGAGCTTCTAAAATGACCTCTAGGAAATAAATATAGTTTAAATTCTGGACTCTTCTCCTGAGACTACAGAAGAGCTGTGTAGTTGAAATGGTGGGGGTGGGTTTAATGTGGGTATTTGCCCCTCTTTTAGATTTCATATGATTTAAGACCACATGTGTGAAAGATTCAACTTTATAATTGATAATGGTTACACTTCTACCTTTTGTTAGATTAGCTAATGGCTCTCCAGATCTGAGATGTTGTTTACTGCATCAGAAACTCCAGGTAAATATCCCAAATTTAAGAATGATTTTTCTCCTAAGGAAACTGTCAAAATTAAAGCAGTTATTAGCTAAATATATTGTTCTTGTAGATTTAGTTATGCTTGTATTTTTGGGTGTGGAATTCATTTGTTGGGAAAAATCTTTGTTATAGCAACAATTTCAATGGAGTTGTTATCTTTTAGAATTGTAAGATGTTTTCAGGGATTCTCCCAAGTTTTTCTGTATGACTGTTTCTGTAAGAGAAGTAATTACTAAACAATTATTTTTTTGTTCCTTTACCTTGCTAGATGTTAAATTGTTGCATTGAAAGGAAGAAAGCAAGAGATGAGGGGAAAAGGGGGAGCGTGTCTGATCGTTCACCTGGGGCTTCTGGTGATGGTGCAAAAGGAGCAGAACACTCTGCAGATAACCCTGATAAGGAAAAGGAATTTGGCAAGTCTTGGGAATCATGGAGTGACAGTGAAGATGAATTTTTTGAATGTCTGAGTGACACAGAAGACCTCAAAGGAAATGGACAGGAAAACGGAAAGAAAGGAGGAGCAAAAGAAGGCAACAAAGAGCCTGTGAACTTAAAACCAGAGGGTCGTCTGCATCCACACGGGAAGCTGATGCTGCTGCATCCTGGAGAGCCTCTCTACGTTCCAATAACACAGGTCAGGGAGCAAGAGCCGAGCCAGATGTGCAGCACAGCTCTCACACAGCAGGGCTCCTACCTGGGACTGTGAAACTGGGTATATTTGCAGGTTACAGCCTTATCTGTTGTTAAAATCCTGAGTGTTTTTCATTTTTAAATCTCAATGAGGCCATTAAGCTGAAATCTCACATGCTCCTTGTTTTATTTGAGAGTGAGTTTCCTTACCAAATTTCACTCCAAGCAAGTTTTTTAAATAAGAATTAAGCTGTCTTGCCTACCTTAAATTTGGGGTTTTTTAATTACTAGTTCCTGAGGCATCTTGCATCCCCTCCTTACTTTCTTTCCTGCCACCATGGAGATTTCTAGCTGACTGAGCAGAATAAGGATCAATTTTGCTGCTATGTTTTTTTCTTTTCTTCTTTAATTTCTCTGCTCATATCTAAAAGACCAGAGTCATCAGTTTTGGTGCCGTTCTCTACAGCAGGTTTATCAGCAAACAATTAGAAATGTTCCCTGATATCCCCAGGCTTTCCTGCAAGGTGGCTGGGGACATAATAGGCAGCAGTGGTGCCACAGGAAGCAGTTTGCAACCAGCCATGCATGAAGAGTACAGTGTTTTTCTTTCTCTTGAGAGAAATTATTTTTAATTAATGTTACTTTGCTTGGATAAAACATGTGAGCAGAGTGTAGTCAGGCAAACTGTTCTCAATTAATTATGTGGTGACACTGTCAAAGGCAAAAATTCTGTGTTGCTTTTAGGTCGATTTTAATCCATCTCAACAAAATAGTGTCAGTCAAACCCTTGCCAGAGTTCATTTGGATTTTGGTGTTTTAACAATATATCCTTATATCATTCCTTCATTCTGAGGTTATTTTCTGTTTAGGTTCTCTTTGTTAGTGTCATATTCACATGCACAGCTTGGCTGAACAGTTTAAACAGTAGAAAGTTCTGATTATTTCCCTTGAGTACAAATGAAGCAGAATGGACTTGTGGTGATAGGGAGCTTTTTCCTTCTCCTTCCTTGGGAAGGGCTGAGCTGAGGAGAGGCTGTTTGTAACCCTGCCTTTTTCCATGTTGCAGGAACCAGCACCCATGACTGAGGATTTGCTGGAGGAGCAGTCTGAGGTGCTGGCAAAGCTGGGAACCTCAGCAGAAGGTGCTCACCTCCGGGCACGGATGCAGAGTGCCTGTCTGCTCTCAGACATGGAGTCTTTTAAGGTACTGCTGCTTGGAGAATTCTGTGAGACTGCTTTCCTCTCCTTAATTAAACTGTCCCTCTTGCTTACGTTGAACAATTTTGAAGGGTCTTCTGACAAGTTTCTTTTTTTCTCCACAAAACAGTTTCAAAATAATTTCAAGGTGAAAATAAAACCCTACTGCTAAAACTCTTGGAACACATCAAAATCTGTGACAATGTAACGTCCCAGAAAATTTGCACAATGTCTGTGAGAAGGGAAAAAACACAGAAAACATACAGTTGATAAATTGGGAATTAAAGCAGTTGTTCATCAGATTGGGACTGGACTAGCTGTGGTTTGTGGTTTTCGGTAGTTTGTCCCATTTCTTGTCTGAGCTCTGCAGAGGGAGCTAAGAGCACATACACTGCTGTCATCAGAGGAGCTGAAAGCTAAAAGGATTAGAGATTCTGTAATGAAATAGCTGTATATGTATTTTAATTATTGCAATGTTCATAATAAAAGCATACAGATGTACTGTAGAGTATGTATAACATATCAATATCAGTTATTAGCAGTGAGTCATGGCATATTAGGCATATGTAGAAGTTTTATTTCTGTGGTCCAAATTATCTGAAAACTCAAAAATATAGAACCATAATTTGAAGCACAAGTGCACTCTTGATAGGTACATTGAATAGTGAACTGAGTTTCCCTTTATGTTCTGGATATGGATGTATTTATTAGTGTTGACATTGCATCTATGAAAAATGAAGCTATTTTTGTTTGGGGCAGATTTTTTTTTTAATTTCCTTTGTAAAAGAGGAAGAAAAGGTGAATTTTTTCACTGGAGTGTTAAAAACTGGAAAGTCAGTGCTCAAAGCATATTTATGCAGCCAGGGATTCTTTTAGGCTTGGGCTGTTTTCCTCCAGGTCTTTTATGGTATAAGCTTATACATAAAGGAATTTGTGAAAATTCCTACTTATTGCATGTATCAGGTACCAGGTGGAAGTTTAACTGAACAGTGTAATTTTTGAGCTGATGAATGCACATTTTGTGGGTGATAAGAAAGGATTTTTTTGTTGTTGATGATGTGGGTTTTACCCCTTGCCATTGTCTTGGTTAATGCTTTGTTCCCTCACCCTCCCAGGTCTCTGTCCTGCAGTACAGTTTGGTGCCTGTGGACAGAATTCCCCGAGTGCTTTCTCCTCTGCTATGGTCTACCCACTAAACCACATCGTGTTTCCTACCCAGGCTATCAGTGTTACAGGATTTTCAGGAACGAATTTTCTCTGCTCTCCTCACTCAGGCAGCGAATCCCGGCTGTTGCCTGGAGGACTTTGTGAGGTGGTACTCCCCTCGGGATTACATCGAGGAGGAGGTGGTGGATGAGAAGGGGAATAAAATCATCAAGGGCGAGCTGAGCGCCCGGATGAAGATTCCCAGCAACATGTGGGTGGAGGCCTGGGAGACGGCAAAGCCCATCCCAGCACGGAGGCAGAAGAGACTCTTCGATGACACCAGGGAGGCAGAGAAGGTGAGAGCTCAGTGCTGGTGACATCTGACCTGTAATGCTACAGGTAATGCCCTTCCTCCTTCCTCCTGCAACATTGAAACATGGACTGGTCCTTGCACTATGTCCTTGGAGTTACTGAACTGCTCTGTGCGTGGCTGAGGGTTAGTTGGAAATTCCTGCTGCCTTACAACAGTATGTGAAGTACCTAAAGTAATGAGTGTGTGAAACATGACTCCACAGACTGTGTTACTGAGGTGGTACTTTGAATTATTAGTAAATAAACCAGATTTTTACCTGCATGTATGTGTTAGGAACACTTTAGTTTCCTAACACATAATTATTTTGGTTTCATTCTAACCTGTTGGGACTGGATTGATGTAAAACTGCCTACCAACTCCTGTCTTACAGAAGTGTTCCATTCTTTCCTCTTTCCTAGCTAACCTTATCTTTGGGAAGCAGTTTTGATCACTAATATATTAAGTTTTCTAATGTTGTAGGTGCTTCATTACCTTGCAGTTCAGAAATCAGCTGACCTTGCAAGGCACCTCCTGCCTTGCATCATCCATGCAGCTGTACTCAAGGTAAAGGATGAAGGTAAATAATGTTTAATAAATTAAGATATTTTGGGGTGAGCAGTGATGCAATAATTACAATTTTGGTTCTTTCCTTCTAACAGAAGCACTAGAAGATATCTCTTCAGTCAAGAAGATAATCAAGCAGATAATATCTCATTCCAGCAAAGTACTACGGTTCCCCAATCCAGAGGACAAGAAGTTGGAAGTAAGGCTTTTGTACTGGCTGGGGCTGAAAACCTGATAGACTTTTGCACTGTTCATGGGAGTGCTGAAACCCCATGTTTTTAATTTTCACTTTTATCCAACTCTTGCAGGAGATCATCGCTCAGATTATGAGTGTGGAAGCAATCATTGCCAGGGCAAGGTCTCTGAAAGCAAAATTTGGTGTAGAGAAGTGTGAAAATGAGGAGGAGAAAGAAGATCTACAAAGGTGACTGATGATCTTTTATTTTTCCTCTGATGCCCTTTTTTTGTACTTTCAAAATTTAGGACAGATGGATACAGAAATACTAAGGAATCATATTTAGGTGTCCCTGTCCTGAGACTATGGATGTTGTGTAGATACCCTAAATGCTCCTCTGAATGAGCAGCTCTTTGAAAACGTGTGATACAGGTTATTTTTGCTGGAGTTTGGTTTTATCTTGATAGTACTGGGAATTTCATCTGCTTTTTGTGTATGTAAAAGGTGTATTTGATGAATTCTGTCACAACAGAGGTAAAAGTAGGACTAGAAATTTAGTATTTTCTGTAAATATTATGGAATGAAATATTCCCCTCCAAAGTTATATTTTCTTGTTCTTGTCTCCTTACTGATGTGAAACCAGTCACTGAGGAGCTGTGAATAGGAAGTGACAAGGCAGTTTCCTTGCATCACTGCCTGCTGGCAGATTATTTACTTAGCACTCAAGATGACTAATAAGTCATGTTGAAAAAATCCACATTAGCTTGTTGCTGCTGTGCTGGGAGGAAGAGATGATGTTTTTGTAGGATATGTTGGGGGTTCAGGGGTGTGATGTGTGACCAAAGCATTATCTTTGTTCTCAAAAATATCCATCCCGTGGTATGTGGCCAACACCATGAAGGCTTTTTGTGTTGAATTAACACCTCTGCATCAGGAGCCGGAGTTCCATTCTTAGATAACTGAGAGGAGATTTTTTCCTCAGACTTTCAGAATGGAGAACTGAGAGTAGCTGCCAGATCTCACCCTGTGCAAATGATGCTCAGTGGAGGCCTCCTGCCAGGAAACAGCTCTGGGGTTTGGATTAGCAAACCGGATACAGCCACGGATTAAACATTCCCTTTTCCTTTGCAATGATTTGTTCCACCAGGTTTGTAAACTGTCTCCTGGAGCAGCCAGAGGTGTCAGTTGTGGGTGCAGGAAGAGGACCTGCTGGCAGCATCATTCACAAGCTGTTTGTGAATGCTCAGAGGGTAAGAGGGAGCTCTGGGTTGCTTTGCAGACACTTGTGATTTAAGCAGAAGGAAGCAATGACTTATCATATGATGCCAGTGTATTTTGTCTGCATACGTGCATGTGTTGTCATAAATGTGCTTGAGGTGTTTTTTGTGATGTTCAACATGATTTTGGCAATAACAGAACCTTGCAAGACAAAGGAAGAGTCAGTGATCTGGGATGTTAAACAATTGAAGCCAACTGGGTACACAGAGGTGTCATTAATGGCTGATGTACAACCAGTAATGCTGTTATGGCACAGATTTCTGTCTCAGCAAGAACAATCAAGTGTTGATTGTTTCACATAGGAATGTAGAGAAACAGGTCAAAATATTAAATTATTTTAGAAGGAATAACTTTTTAGAATGGGGATACTTGGAATATACTTGGAATACTCAAGACTTCTTCTGTGGAAAGTGGCATGCTGAGGAAGTGTCAGCTCTTTTTCAGTAGGACTCTACATTTAGTTACTTATTGCCAGTGTTGCATCTGTTTTCTGGAGCCCCTTCTCTTGCTGATATTGATGCAAATATTGCCTTTTTATCTGAAGCAGTGTTTGTAATAATAAGCCTTAAAGTATTGATTTCCAAACCTCATGGACTGCAGTCACCCTTCAGTTTCTGTCAGAATTACACCTGCTCATAGCATCAAGTTTTCTAACTAAAATTTAACTACAGTGGTAATAGCAAGGTAGCACAGTATTGCAGACATCTTAGAGCCTGAAATTCCATTTGGGAATAATTGCTGGGAAAACATTGTGATTGGGTGTTAAACACTTCTAAGGTATGGATGACTTTGTAATAAACTGTATTTTGCAACACAGCATAAAAAGGACCATTCTGAAAACAGACTGTGGTTAGTGTGAGGGATGAAAATCAGAGCATTTATTTTATCCTTCCAGTCTCTAGGGAAGGTCTAGTTTGAAATCTCAACGTGCCAACCAGCCTGACTTACAGCCCCTCCTGTAAAGCCCAAGGCTGTGCCCTGTCAGTGCCTGCACACGTGTGCACTTGCCTCTAACACTGAGGCAGGGTTAGAGTAGGTTTCTAGGTTAGTGTTTGATAAAGATATGTGCACATTTCTAGGGCTTTGTTTCTTTTGAAACACCAGTAAACAAAGTAGGGTTACAGATACTTCCCCCAGTAGCTGGTCACTGTTAATTAGGATGTCTTAGGGCAACAGGAGCCCCCTTTGTGTTTGATCTCCCATGAGTTATTTGGGTAGAGAGCTGTTTGATCTCCCATGAGTTATTTGGGTAGAGAGCTGTTTGATCTCCCATGAGTTATTTGGGTAGAGAGCTGTTTGGTAAATAGAAGTTGAATGAATTCCTTGTTCATTACCTTTTGATCCTGGACTCCTCTCTGAGTTGTGTTTAATGTGTTATGTTCTCAGATTTTCTCAGGAAAATTCTGATAGCCAGTGCATGCTCTTGGAAGTAGAGTGCATGATGTCTCTTAAACCTACAGTCTCCTAACCTCTTGTAAGTCATCTCTGACTTGCCTTTGTTTCTGTCTTTCATCACTGGTTCTTTTCTCATCCCTTTCCAAGCTGACTGAATCTTCTGATGAGGTAACCAACTTTGTCCCTCCTTTCCCACTCATCTTCCCAAGCTGCATAGAGTTGAACCTTCTGGTAGAGATAGTACAGCAGCTAGATTTAGTTTGTACTGTTGTTCACATATTAAGCACAAAAATAACTTTGTGTTTCCAGAATGGTTTTTCTGCATTCACAGACTTTACTTCTAGAGCATAATAACAGGTAGTGAAAAGAGAGTGAAATCTTCAATAATAAAAAAACAAACAAAACCAAAACACTCCCCCCAAAAACAACAACAACAACACCCCAAAAAAACCCTCAAAACAACCAAAACCCCTCCCAAAACAAACAAAAAACCCAAATGAAAAACATTTCTTCAAGTGAATATTGATGTTTTCTGATGCTGAAATATGTGGCCATTCTTTATATTCTCTGTTGCCATCACTATTGGTTTGTTGAGCAGACAGATGTTTTGGGGGGATGGACAGTCCCTGGATTTTGCATTCTTGATACCAGGATTTACTGAAACTATGGAATATTTTGGACAGTGATATCTGGGGAAGAACTGGGGTAATTCCATAAAGTGTAGCACAGGGAGCATCCTCTGGTTTGCTGGAGCTGTTTTTGTGGGAACAAGTGGTGCTTGTCCATGGTGAATTCTGTGGCACAAACTGCAGAGGCAAGCAGTGCCAGGCTCCCCCAGCTCCTGGGAGTGAGTGTGGGAGCAGAGGGGTGGATCAGAGGGACCGTGAGGGTCATCCAGAGGGTTCTGCCACACCTCAGTGACAGTGCCAAGCTGGAGCTGTGCCTGCTGAAATTGGGCAGGACCCTGTTGGGGTACTGGTGGGGGTGTGTGTATCCAGAGGTGTATGTGATTAGGGAATGTTTACTGGGCAGGCCAGCCCTCGTTCCAGTGTCCAGGGTCAGTGTTGCTGTTCACTGCCCGAGGCAATGAGCACGGCAGAGGTGCTGTAGATCCTCCCTTGCTCTGCACTGCACTCCCAGCATGAACAGCGCCCACCACAGCCCTGTGTGTCTGAAGAGGCAGGTGACTGTCAGGACTGCAGTAGTGGTGTGGATGATTTTGGAGAGGAGGCTGGCCTGCCCTCCACAGGGAACCGAGGAGAGAGCCCTGCCTGAGGAGGGGCCGTTTCCACTGCTCACAACCCTCACTCACACTGCCGGAACATCAGGAGCTTAATCCGGGCTGAGCTTCACCACCCACACGTGCAGGTTCTTCCATCTGGTTACGTGCGCTTTGTTTCTCGGCATCCCATTAGCGCCCCGCTCTGCGTGCACGTAAAGCCTCCTGACGTGTTGCCATTTCTGATCTTCCTCTGTCTCTCTTCAGAAATATTTTGTGAGTCCCGTTAGGCAGCAGCCGTGCCTGTCACTGTGCCTGTGCTCTTTCCCAAGGTTTCGGTGGTGCCGCCGCTGGAGGAGGAGCTGCGGCGCTCGGGCTGTGCGGAGGAGCGCAGGCAGGGGGTGCAGTCGGAGTTCCCTCCGCCCACGGGCCGGGAGGTGATCCTGCGCTCGGCCGTGCCCCGGCCCGCGCCCTACTCCAAGGCGCTGCCGCAGCGCATGTACAGCGTCCTCACCAGGGAGGATTTCCGCCTGGCGGGAGCCTTCTCCGCCGACACCACCTTCTTCTGAGCCACCGGCCCCGACCATCTTCCGTGTCCTCACAGCAGCGCGGGGCTCACGTCCCGCGGGAAGGGAAGGAATGCTGCGGATGGACCGGCTGTGCTGAGGAGACACCGCCTGCACCATTCCCAAGGACTGGGGTTGGCAGCCTTGAGGGATGTCTGCAGCAACTCACCTTGGAGGTTTGGAACGGCTTCACAAGTAGTTTCAGTCAGATCTTCGGGAAAGAAAATGTAGCAACCTCCTTTCTGCCCAAAGGGAGCATCTTTTCTTTTCTTTGCATTAGCTTGGTTAATTATGGACGTGAATGGGCTGTGTGCAAATATTCATGTTGAAATTCCTACAGAATGTGCTGCTCTACACTTCTGGATCAAACTTTATCAAGTGACATTAGTCTAACTAAATTGACATAAACATAAGTAATTTATATTTATTGCTAATCATAATTACAGAGCCCAGTATGTTTTGGTTAATCACTAAATTTCAAGTATTTCTAAAATATCCTTATTTTTATTTAAAGTATACAGTACACTCTAGTTCATGCCAAGCCCTCCTGGCATTGCAGTCATTGTCCAGAAAGATCTTGTCCCGTCTCCCAAATAGAAAAAACGACATTTAGGGCTAGAACTGGACAGTGAGCCTGAGAGCTGGCACTGATGGTTTGGGGTACTTTATCCCCTTCCCTGGTGCAAGGGCCAAAGCTGTATGAAATGACAGCTGCAGAGGTGTTTCACTGTGAGCAACTTGCTGGTATTTCCAGAGGCTGTTTGCCTGCCCCGTGTCTTTGCTGTGAGGATGGAACATTCTGTCACCTGCTGGCCCCTCACCCCACTGGTACCATCAGACACTGACGTGTTCGTGCCAATGTTGCTTCACATTGACCTTCATGTGTTTTATGAGAATCAGCAAAAAATCAGCACCACTTTACACATGAAATGTACAAACAGCTACAGTATTGTGGACATTACTCAATAAATACGAATTTATTATTGGCTCTCAGTATTCCCGTGCTTTTCCATTCCCTCCTTGCATGATCTGACCCAGGAAGGACATTGTTTATGGCTGTAACTACATGATGTGTAGAGAGTTGACAGTAGGGTCCCAGGTGTTGCCCTAAAGCTCCTTGGAGGGGACAGAGGTCAAAGTGTTTTCTTCAGATAAAGCTCTAGCAAGTAGAAATGCATTTTTCAGGATGAAGAAGAGTTAATTTTCTTCAAGGAAAGTATTGTCACGGAATTTGTTCTCTAGATTGTTTGTGTGAGAGAAATTCCTCTGGCCAAGGGGTAAGTAAGATAAAGACCAATGTAGCTGCTGTTTAAATGGGTAGCTTCTTTAAAAGAAAGTGCACTGGGCTAATTACTGATTAAATTTTAACTTAAGCATCTTCCCTGATACTCTTGGTCTCCTCCTCTTTAATGAAATTTCACACTGCAGTGTGGGCTCTTGTAAAGGCTGTATAAACTTAAAATCCCTCACACTTAGTTCCCAGGCTATTCTTACTTGGTCCTTTAAACTGCTGGAGAGATGATTCCTTTATTATACTCAGGCACCACAAACATCATCCAACATTTTTTTCAGGCTGTTACCTAAAGGTGTCTTTATTACCTGAAAGCATCTTTGCTGGAAATGTCCAGTGAGTTTGGCTCTACAGAAAATGGTGCAGTTATGCAACTACCTTGTCTTAAACAATCTTTTTCTCAGTAAAAGATTTATAACTTCTAAGAATTTTTCTGAGCAGGATAACTTCACAGCTTATTTTAACTAGATGTAGTTGAAATTTCAGCCACGTCCTTCCTGGAGATGTGCTTTATGAGCTTACAACTGCCTTCCAGCATTCAAGGGGTGAGGAGAGACAGAGAAAAAAATCACCACGAAAAAGAACTGTATTTATTTAAAGTAACTGTAAAGAAAGCCAGGTAAGCAGTCCAAAATAACCAGCAATCTTGTTAAGGAAAATGTGACTGTAGAATTTCCCAGAAACCACCTTTGATGACATAATTGGTAATATCTAGTGTTCCTTATCAAAAATAAAATTTTAATACAAGCTGGTTTAAGTAAAAACAGAATTCAACTGCCATCAGTTCTAAATGCCAGAGTCCTGTAAGTCAGGCTCAGTGCAGTAAGGTTACATGCAGAAATTTAGCTTTAAACCACAGGGTCATAAAAACATGACCATAATCAAGTACCTTGGATGCCCTCTGACCATCAGTGTTACAAACAATTCCTTGGTTTTAATTCCGTATTTTCTCCTCTCTACCAGCAGCATTGATGGGCGACAGAGATTCCTGTTAAATCAGCGCATGAGGAAAACTATGTAACTGTATTGGATTTAGTGTTACATTATACCTGAAGGGATTTTGCATTTTACATTTTCACAAGAAATTTGGTGATGTCACAGCCGTACTTTGTAGCCAAAGACCTTCTCTTCAGTTGGCTTCTTTCCTTGGCCTGCTTGGCAGTTCTCTGCAAAAGAGAGAGACAGGTCTGTTTAGTGAGTGTTGAGACTTGGCAACTCTGCCCAGGGACACCATTAGCCCACAGTTGAACTCCAGTCTGATTTTGCAGTACACAGCACAATAAAATGCAGATGTTTATTAAGGTGGCATTTTCCCAAATCCTGAGAAAACTGTCATAATAGTTTAATGCTGCATTTCCACCTGTGCCGTGTGGGAGGGAGAGGCTGAGGGCACAGGGGTTCTGCAGGGCTGAGGAGGAGCCTGACTTCAGGCTCCTGCTGCTGTTCCAGGGGAGAGGGCCAGGATTCCTGGCCCCAGCACACTGACCTCCCTGTGGCAGGCTGTGCAGAGAGTCTGCAGGTTGTCCAGGGAGCACTGTCCTCCTCCGCTGTACACGGGCTGGATGTGATCCACCTGCCAGAACTGCCCCTCCGTGGGGCTCCGGATCATCTCGTTCAGCTGCAGCAAACACAGGACAGGGCACGGGATGTGTGAGACACCCCTCCTGAGCTACATGTGCACGCTACCATCAGAACAAGGACATTCAGGGGAGTAGCTATTTATAGTTCTCATCAGGATAAACAAAGCCAGCCTTAGCATTTTTTAGCTACTCCCACTGGAGAAGCAAAGAAGTATAAGCAGATGGCATGTTTTCACCCAGCCTGAACTGTACAACCAGCCCTGGTATTTACATTCACCCCTACAGAGTCAGAGCTTTGATGCCTGTGCCTTTTAGAGATGAAAAATCTGTTAAAAGACAGTGGGATAGAAGAATCAAGAGGACAAAGGCATTTAGTTTGATTGTTTTTAAGGACTTGTTTTTTCTTGTTCTGTTGTTGATGCTGGGTTAACTTTCTATCTTAAATCTGTAAGAACATCTTTGGGTTTC